TCTATTATTATTTTATTATTACTAATAATAATAATAATAATAATAATAATAATAATAATAGATTGCATTTATATAGCGCCCTATCCTATACTAGTTTAAGCTGTGAGCGCTTTACATCAATCACATAATCATTCACACAAGAAACAAATATTTCACACAAACAAGAAAAACCAGTTCAACCGCATGAAACTTTAGGACCCCTACTTAAAGGTTAGGAATGTTTATGTGGTAGAAGCCAGGGCTTGGGTTGTGGGTGAGTCGTAGCGTAGACGCTGGATAGGAAGAAAGTAGATACTTTGGTGTGTGCCGTCTTAGTTACTTAAACTACAGTTCTTGAACTCTGTACCTGTTTCAATTTCATAAGCATACTCTTATGAACCCACACAAGGACACCACACTCCTGCACTACTTTCAGAGGTGAACAATCAGATGGTTTGATCATCTGACACGTATGGCACCCCACCATTGCCAGTAAATCGTACTACAAAAAATATCGGGGTACAAGGAAAGAAGAATACCAAGGAATACCTGGATGGATCGAGAGTGTGAAAATTACCCTGAAAACATACGACATTCCACACAGCTAGGCCATCCAACTTGTTAGAGATAGAAAGCTCCTTCTCCCCTCAACCCCCTAGGGCTCTAGAGGTACAAGAAGACGGATAAAGTAAAGTAAGGAAGGCTAACTTTTTTCAGTTTAGTAAATGTTTTACGGTGCTCGCAACGGCATAAGGTCAAATGAGTGGGCGAGTCCTAACCCTATCCGTTCGCCTTGCGGTCATTTAGTATCCCCGGGGTTGTATTCTTCACATTTTAGAATACTTCTAGAGGGAAGCTCTCCTTGAAACTTTCAGTATTTCTCAAAAATTCATTTTAACTGACTACTACGCAAAGCGTGTGGATCGGATTAACGAGTAAATTAATTTTTCTCTTTGGAAAGTGGTGGCACAGAGTTCCCTACCTCGTATGGATACAATAGTAAAACACAACGTACGGACAGGTTTAAAAAGAGAAAGAATAAATGTGATCTCCACACATAAGGACCTGGCCAGACATTACAGAGTCGTCTCCTTTTGATACCCGGGGTGGGGGGGTGGGGGTGGGGAGAGGGGTATTGAGAGAGTTTTGCGACACTCGTAACTGCATACGTTTATATAAGCGGTGGACACAAGTTTGTTGTTTTCACATTAAGTATTTTCTTCAGTTATGGTGGTAGGAGGAAGCCTACTCGTATCGATTGAAGGGCCAACAAGGCATCTTCAAATTTAACGTGCACAACTTGCACACGGGACCTCAGAGATTTTTTCGCCCTAATTCGATAAGGCTAAGCGTTCGATTTTACCTACAATAAGATCAGGGGTGTGGCTGAAAGACAGCAGTAAAAAAGAGCCAGGAGGAGCTGTAGAAAGAGCCAGGAGGAGCTGTAGAAAGAGCCAGGAGGAGCTGTAGAAAGAGCCAGGAGGAGCTGTAGAAAGAGCCAGGAGGAGCTGTAGAAAGAGTC